GTGTTCAACGAAAATGATTTTGTCTATGAGCAGGAAGGAAACTCTTGATTTCATTATACACAGAGTTAACACTGGGTTCAGATGCTGGCAAAATGCAGGGTGAAAAGTAGAGCTAGGATGTTTTTTGTTAAAAATGGTATTGAGCATGGCTTAAGTGGTGATACATCATAGTAAAATTAACTGAGACAGAACTTAGAGGAGACATAATACCCTAATGATGGAGTGTTACTCACTGCGTTAAAAATCATCCATACCAACTAGTTTAACACTTTTGCCACTTGACATGCATTTTGCAGGTAGAAACATACATATATATAGATAGATATAGATAGATAGATAGATGTGGAAAATATTAACCTGAATATGTCAGAAATCCTAAAAAAAGTTCAAAATCCATGAGCACATAATCTGATTGGCCCTTAATTTGGACTTAAAATACCTGATTCCTTTAGCAAACAATTTTTTTAAAATGTTAATCTTTTAAAAGCCATCGAAGCATTTACATACCCACTCAAACACAGTTCTAATTTTAAGAAAGTGTAACTTAAAAAAACAGTATCTGTAAAATTCACAATTTTCCCTCATTGAACAGATCGAGTAATTGTCGTAAATAGTAAAATAACTTACATATAGCTAACAGGTGGTTCCTACCCCACATATATGGAACTATATTTTCTCTTTTGTCTATTATTTTGTTATTTTCAGGCATTGAATGGAATTGAAAGAGAACTGATTCATGTCACCTCTAAAGAGAAGGTAAAACCACATTTTTCTATTTGTACCATGCTGATTGATTGAGTGAAATTGACCAGCTGCCAATTACAATACCAGCATATATATATGAAAAAATTAGAAACTTAGAACTCAAATGTGTTCATATATAGATCGCTATATGTTGTCAGTGCTATAGAATTGATGATAATTTTGCATGGTGACTAATTGCATTATGTGCCTTAATGAAAAACATTGATACCTTTAATGATTACCTTATTTAAGTGACAACTTACTTATAGAATTATCCTTTGACTCATCTAGGTGACCAGTCTTATGAGACTCGCCCAAACGCTGGAGCAGCATGTGCAGCATCTGCCACTAGGAGACACCATGCAGCAACCCCCTACTGCAGACACATACACCAGAGCAACAGTGGGAGACATCCTGGAATCCATTCAGGAAGATCCAAGCAATAATAGTTATGATGAAGAGTATGACAGTGTTCAGACTGAAGCAAATGGGAACCTAAGACCTGCATCAGGTGACACTGATGCTCACAGTTTTGGTGATAACCATGGGAGGATTGTGAACTACATGACAGAGATCAGTTCTGATTATAGCTGTGTTGATGATGGTGAGGAGGAAGATGGGGAACAGAAGGATAGGGAGGAGTCCGGTGAGGAATGGGTGGAGGGTGAGGAACAAGAGGATGGGGAGGAGGCGGGTGAGGAACAGGAGGGTAATCATGAGGAGAAGGAAGAAGAGGGTGATGAGAAAAAGGAGGAAGATGGGGTAGAGGAGGACAGTCACCTTGAAGCTTTTTCTGTAGATCCTTCTGCAAAAGCTCATGTTAAAGAAGAAATTCAGTATACTGATGAGGTACACCAAGGTTCAAACTCCAAAGAGCATGTTTATTCAGAAGATTCAGAAATTTCAGTTGCTGCCTCCATGAGGGCTTTATCTGACTTGTTACAAGAACTTGATAATGGAGAACAGTCTGCTGAAGAAACAATGGCAGAGGGATCTGTTCAGAAACCGGACTGTTCAAATGAGGAATGCCTTCCAACTACTCAGTCTTCAACCCTTATTACTGGTTCAGTTGACAGTGGACAATCTCAATCTGATGTACCACCATCAACACCCACCAATTCATCTACTGCCCCACTCCCAACCCCATCACCTCCAACCCCACTCCCCCAAGGCACCCCACCACCTCTCCCACCCCCTCTGTGTGCCCCTCCACCCCCTCCCAGTGCCCCTCCTCCACCTGGTGGTCAGTTTGGTATGAAGACAGGACGCACGCTGAAGAAAACTACTCAGCAGAAGTTGCGAATGTTTAGATTTTCTACGCTTCCAGTTAATGCGGTAAGCTATTGTGGCTTTTTTATCATTGGTGTGACTTTTATAGATACACTTTATTCGTGTGGCTTATAATCAGCTGTTAAACGCACACCCATTTGTTCATTTAAGCAGTATCTTAGTTTAAATTGCCCTAGGTAGGTGAGGTATGTAGTGTATTTTATAAATAGGTTTAAATGTGAATCTTCTTTTGGTATGTTACATAGGGGCCCTAAGAAATTTAAACCACAGTGTTTCATATATTATTAAAAGGGCAGTTGTAAGTTTTGGACCTCTCTAACTCATTCTAGGCAGTAACACTGTTGTAAAGTGGCCTTAGACCCTGTTCCCATACTTAGATGGATCTAGCAGGATCGACCTATCTCTAAGGGAATTCTTGCTAAATTGCAATTTATCGAAAATCTCCTCGGAGATGGGGCGATCCTGCTAGAATGATTTAGGTATGGGAATGGGGTCATAGTGTTGCATCAAGACTCTGGTATTTNGGTATTGTATTAAGACACTCCTGCAACCCTTTCTCTGTTCTGTATTTAAAGTTACTAGAGACAATTTGTTGTTGGTTCATGCATAATTAATTAATTAATTTAATTAAAAATGATAAAACTCAAGTTTTAGAATATAATGAATAGATAAAGACATATTGAGAGATCTGAAACAAGGGAGTATTGGATGAAGTAAGTTTGATTAATAGTCTTGTGGGATTTCCACAAAAGCAGAATAGTAGGGGCATTTTGGGGTAAAAGTTGGGAACCAGGCTTATTAGCATAATTTTGGGATGCTGAATCCGATTTACCCGGTTCCCAAGCGAAATTTTGCGTTTTTAAGGGTCTAATTTGCAAAAAAACAAAATGGCCGCCAGATTTCCTATTTTCTGCAATATCTCTGGGACTAGACAGGTGAACATGACAAATGAAGTGTCTTTACCTATATTTTCAGGGTCGAGGAACATTATTAAGATGTTTCTGTTAGAATTAGATTTACGCAATTTTCTTAAATATGCAAATTAGGATCGCCATTACTGAAAAACCGTTTTACTTCTTTATCTCTGTAACTAGGCAAGCAAACATGACAAATGAAGTGTCTACACCTATGTTCTCAGGGTCAGGGAATGTGATGAATCAGATGTCTTGTCTGATGGGTAGCACTGACTTTGTGTATCGTGTCCGAGTAGCATCCTTTATTGTTTCTTCCCTGTATCTGTCAAACACAAGTCAATCTGCTGATAGTTAGAACCTGCCCTCAGAACTGCTTTTATGTTAACGAGGCAAGCAAACATGACATATGAAGTGCCCACACCCATGTTTTCAGCGTTAGGGAAAGTGATTAAGATATTTTCACTATAATCAAATCAGCAATGAGTGCTACACTGTCACACTGTAGCAATTATTTGAATCTGAATTGAATTTTGCAATTAAATACTGCGCTGCAATTGGGATGTAAACATATTGGATCACACAAGTGCCCCTTTTACCTAGATTTAAAAAAAGATTACCTTATTAATGCAATGGAGGGATTTGCTGAATCAAGTAATTCATGTGATGCAATGTACAGATTCACATTTACAATGGATTTTTTTTTCAAACATATTTTCTTTGAATTTTTCCCATATAATAGTAATGGATGAAAAAACACTTGTTATCGTGTTCGATATGGCAACCCGTGTGAATACATAATCAAAAATATAATTTAAATTATAATTTAATATTCAAATCAGCGTTATAAACAGCGCATGGATAATTTTATAGCTGATAACGAGGTATTAAATTCTTATGAACTCGATATTATCAATAATATCAGTTGGTAAGGATTTTCTCTCACACAAAAGAATCATCAATACAAATGTGAAAAATGGAAACTGATAACAATGCGTGCAGCCTCAACCAGAGCCCTCATTCCATGCAGAGAGGTTTCTGAGAGTATGATCCAGTATTGTGTTACACGCATTAGTCAGAGCTTGCCTAAGCTTGTGCCGATTTGTAGGGTGGACGGGTAAGCTCTTGATTCTGCTAGCGATTTATGCCCACAGGTTTTCTATAGAATTCATGTCAGGGGAATTTCGTCGGCCAAGGCAACTGGTTTACCTCTTGGTTTGCAGAAAAGCAGTTATTGCATGGGCATGGTGTGGTCGGGCATTGTCATCTTGCAGGATGAAGTTGTCCTGGAAGTACCTTCTTGCAAATTGCAAGCAAGTATTCTCTAACATCTCCCTGTATTTTATCTGGTTGAGGTTTCCGTCAATTGCCACCAATAGTGTTTTGGCTCCAGAGTGGAAACCAGTCCATACACAGATACTGCCACGGCCACAAGTCACTGTAGTGTGACACAATCCTCGTGCAGTAACTCGTCTGGAAACCTACTGACTCTGATTCAGCCATCGCGGTGGTGGAACTCAAACCCTGCCTCATCTGTAAAAATCTACATGAACCCAGTGCTGTGCCTGGAACCGCAAATGGCGTCTAGCCCACCATGTTGCTCTGTTCATAGAGTTAACCAGCTAAAAGTAGCCTTGCATTCACTAGAGTTCTAAAAACATGCTTTTGAATGGTAATTTGCCACTCATTTTGTACAGCAAGAGTTGTCTTTGTCCGGTTGTTGCGACATAACCGCAGAAGCAAGCGGTCTTCCCTTCTGGTGGTGACTTTAGGACATCCTGGCCGTGGTCTCTGTGTTAATGCACCAGTCTGGGCGTGTTTCTGTAAGACGTTACAAACTGCTCCCTGGGACACATTCAGCTGTCTGGCAATAGCAGTTTGCTTCTGTCCATTCTGGCATAATGCAACAATAGTGTGGCAAGTTGCTGCCGTTAGTTCACATACCGTAAGGTCAACTAAGAGTCTGCAAAATATCAAGCTCTTCTGACTGGACGTTGTCGAAATATAGAGACTTATTCTGCAGAACTGCTGCCCTTTTATACGCATTCTGTAACCAGCCAAAGAGGACTGCTCAGAGAAACTGCCACATATTAGGTAAGGTGGGCCCTGACCCCCCCCCCCCCTTCCACTTCTGGTCCCCCCTTGAAATTATAATTTTGACTAGCTGAATCATAGTTGTAAACCATACCAAATGGCACCGTTCGCCCTCTTAAATACCAAAATAATGTGTGGCCCGTCCCCAAGTGGGGAGGGGGGGGGGGCTTTGCATCCGCGGACCCCCCCTTCAAATAATCCTGGATCCGTCTCTGCTCACCTTGCCTTATAATTGATGGGCAAGCACTGACAATTTCACTGGAAAAGCCTGACAATGCAGTGACCTTTGGTAATTTGGCTGACACGTACGTAAGAGCAGTTCTGAAGGCAGGTTCTAACTATTAGCAGACTTTTTTTAGACAGATACAGGGAAGAGACAATAAAAGGTGCCACTCGGACACGATTCACAAAGTCATTGCTACCCATCAGACAAGAAATCTGATTCATCACATTCCCTGACCCTGAGAACATAGGTGTAGACACTTCATTTGTCATGTTTGCTTGCCTATTTACAGAGATACAGAAGTAAAACGGTTTTTCACTAATGGCGATCCTAATTTGCATATTTAAGAAAATTGCGTAAATCTAATTCTAACAGAAACATCTTAATAATGTTCCTCGACCCTGAAAATATAGGTAAAGACACTTCATTTGTCATGTTCACCTGTCTTGTCCCAGAGATATTGCAGAAAATAGATAATCTGGCGGCCATTTTGTGTTTTTGCAAATTAGACCCTTAAAAACGCAAAATTTTGCTTGGGAACCGGGTAAATCGGATTCAGCATCCCAAAATTATGCAAATAGGCCTGGTTCCCAACTTTTACCCAAAAATGCCCCTTGCCTCTTATGCAGAGCCTTTTTTCAAAAATCTCACTAGACTATAATCAGCTGTTAAACACACACCCATTTGTTCATTTAAGCAGTATCTTAGTTTAAATTGCCCTAGGTAGGTGAGGTATGTAGTGTATTTTATAAATAGGTTTAAATGTGAATCTTCTTTTGGTATGTTACATAGGGGCCCTAAGAAATTTAAACCACAGTGTTTCATATATTATTAAAAGGGCAGTTGTAAGTTTTGGACCTCGATCTCTAACACATTCTATAGGCAGTAACACTGTTGTAAAGTGGCCTTATATAGACCCTGTTCCCATACTTAGATGGATCTAGGAGGATCAACCTATCTTTAAGGGAATTCTTATTAAATTGTAATTTATCGAGAATCTCCGCGGAGATGGGGCGATCCTGCTAGAATGATTTAGGTTTGGGAATGGGGTCGTAGTGTTGCATCAAGACTCTGGTAATTGTACATTTACTTCAAGATCTATCCTGTAACTGGTCACAAAGCAAATAGGCACAGTTTCTAATACAAATTAGGTAGACAACTCTGTATGGAAGGACTTGCGAGACCTGACCTCCAGTATCAACACCAAAGCTCTGGAGGACATGTTTGCACTGGAGGAGAACAAGACACAGAGAACGGCTTCCACTGCTGGTAATTGTTTTGTGATTTCATATATAATACATAAATGAGGCCTTATAAATAGATTAGGCGTTTACTAACACTACCTGCAGATCTTTTAGCACTAACAACCCATATTAACCACAAAACTCATGAATTAACCAACACAATGTAATATTATTGAGCACCAACAAAGCAATACCTAGCACTAACATTCACCCGCTCTGGTAGTGCTGTAGGCCTGTACATACAGTGCAGTGCAGGGGTGTGGGCACTTTTCAGCACCATCTGGAGGACTTTCAAAATTTTATATATATGTCATAAAGAGGGGATCAGTTGAAGTTTAATTTCAAAGTCAAAATTCTTGAACATTTTCCCTCTTTATCTGCAGTGCAACCAGGCCTGAGCAAACAACAGCCAAAATCATTGTTAGATCCCAAGAAGGCTCAGAACCTGGGGATCTTCCTGATGGGCCTCAAGATGTCTGCTGCCCAACTTAAGCAGAAGTTGGACATTGTGGATGAAACCTCTGGAGGGCTGACAACAGAGCAGATCACAGCTATAAGAAGGTACACAGCCATATTGGTCTGGGTTGTAGTCAGGGGGGGTTCAGGGGGGATTAAAAGAAACTCCTTTTTGCTGGGAAAAGGTCCCCTCTGGGTAAAATTTTATCTCGGTATAGGAAAGTTTCATGGTAAAATTAAGGTCCACTTTCTCAGAGAAAGACCCCCTCCCTTTTTAAATTGCTGGCTACAGGCCTGTTGTTAATCAGTATTTTTATTACTTAATTGCATTGTGTCTTTTTGAACTGCCAGAGGACAGATAAGAGGAGAGGGGGGGATTGGGTTCACAGAGGTGTTGCCTCCCAAAACCATTATTAGGCACCCAATTGTAGGGCTTTTTTACATCCTGGTCATTACATGTTATCATGCTAGGAAGTATTTTACTTGTTTTCACATTTCAGTTCACTTTCAACTATTTGGAACAAACAGTTAGCTGGCCATGTAGAACACATGGCTCCATTTAATTGACTCTTCTATAAAAAACCAAGCAATGTTGCTGTAATATTGCTGCAAACTTTACATTTTCCTAAGGGTGAGGTATGCAGACACAATGAATCTGACTGGCAATTTGTATGCATTGCCCTTAGCAAAATGAAAAGTTTGCAGCAATGTTACAGCAACATTGCAGCAATATTGCTGCAAACTTAGTTTGTGGCAACGAGTTTGCAGGAGTTTGCAAGAAAAATTTTATTGTTGCTAATTTGCAGCCATATTGGAGCAAATTTACAGCAGACCTGATATTTGAGAAGGGTGGCCATTTCTTTCTTTCAAGGTATCAACCAGATAAAAATGAGCAGAAGACATTGGAACAGTACTCTGGTGTGGTCAGTGACCTGGACAGAGCTGACCAGTTCATGTTAGAGCTGTGCAGGATACCCCACCTGGACCTGAAGCTGGAACTGTTACTGGCCATACGTGAGCTGGCAGCTCAAATAGATGACATAGAGCCAGTGAGTCCGAGATTTTCAGCCATGGTTATTAAAAGGATAACAACTGTTCATTTTGGCCAAAAAATGAATTTTCCTGGGGTAAAAAAAAAAAAAGATTTTCCTGTCCTTAGCAATGGTTAATGAATCCATTTCTGCCTTTGAAGTTTGTCCCTGTTTTTTTTTTTTTTTTTTGGGGGGGGGGGGGGGGTTTGTAATAATCTCGTAAGGGATTATTACAGAGTATAACCATCTATGGAGGTCATGTAGTCTGATGAGAAGCACAGATTTCAGAATAATTGCTATAACTGCCGTTTTTGTGGTAAAATAAAATATATTATATGTCTATAGGTTGTTTACAATGTATTTATTGTGAAATATGGACATATCGTACGAACAGTTGTTATTTCTTTAATTTGTTCCATGTTTTAGGCAATCAGACTTTGTCTAGTTATTTTTGTTCTTTGTTTCCTCAGGACAATTCCATTAACAATTGAAAGCAGGAAGCTTTTGTGACTTGTTTTGCTTGTTATCATATAATGTGCCTTGCTTTGGGGAAGAGGGTCCTTGAATGTTCATCATTCTACTAATTCAGAAGCCAGTTCTATCAGCAAAATAAATCATTGGAAATGTGAGACAACTAAAAAACATAGTACCTAATTGGTTGACTTGATTGTTCTTGAATGCTAGTTTGGCTCCTCCCACCTTTAACGTTTACACTATTTCTCAGTATGCAGAATATTGATAGGTAGAGCATATGATTGTACATATATATATATGCCTCTGGTCGATAGGGTCTAAATTACACTAAGTGTTCCAGGTTGACCAGGTTGCTCCCAACCACCAGAACAGACCTAGAAAGTATATTTAATTAACATCATCAGCTAAAATGTGGCTTCTGTAGTTTCTTTGGAGAATGGATGGCGTATAGATCTTATATTATTAGATTCTGCCATAATATATCTGATTCTCTTTCATTGGGCGCATTCAGAACAATTACGTTGATATGCAGACTAACAGTTCTTTGAATCAAATATGGTGCTGCCCACTTGAAAGCATGCCAAGATTTAATTTGTTTTCCTTTGCTGGAACGGTACGCATGGGAGGCTAGAATCCATTGTCAAGTGGGTACCATATTTGATACTTGGACTAGTTAGTCTGCGGATCAACTTTGTTGCGAATGCTCTGTCATTGGCCCCCTTCAGAATAACTAGTCCTAGGATCAAATATGGCCGACCCACTTGAGTACTTCCCCAGGGGATATATCTATTCAGTGTCTATTAGCAGATTAGTCTGCAAGCTTTATAGTGGGTTGCCATATTTGACCCTCGGACTAGTTAGTCCCCTATTCTGAATGGGGCCATTGTGTTATTCATATGTCATTGCAGAGCATGGAGCTGGTCAGTGTGGCATGTGATGAGCTTCTCGGCAGCCAAATGTTTGTGGTCGTCTTGGAGTATATTCTGGCTGTTGGGAACTACATCAACAGTTCAGGGGGAAAAGGAGGCCTCATGGGATTCCACCTGTCATCTCTTTTGAAAGTAAGCGCTGGAAAAACAACCTATTTTACTATCCATCTTAATTCAAAAAAGGGTGTTTTTTGTGGACCCCATTGTATACAGTGTGTGCTATTTCTCCGATTAACCTGAGTAGCATTTGTACTTAAAACAATTTAAAGGAGTTCTATATCGTGTATAGGCATGATTATATTAGGCATGCAATGTGAATTAATGTAGCTTAGTATATTATAAAAAAAATTCTGGAAATTTCAATTTGCTCTTAAGCACCACGGAATACCTTATATCTAAAACCCATGGGAAATTTTAAAAATATGTGAACTGTATTTGCCATTATAACTTCATCAGATTTAAGCATCATCTCAATAATTTTTACTTAATATGCTCATTTTAATCTCAACAGTGACTCAAAAATTAGAAACTTACAGCTCAGAAATGGGTTAAATATCAATAATTTTTCACAGTAGGAAGTGATAAGGAGAAGATTGTTGAGTTGATTTAATTTTATGCTATATAAAAATTAAAAGACAGTTGTGTTCCTTTAGCAAAAAAAGAGAAATAAAAACTGAAAATAAATAAATAAATGAATAAATAAATAAATAAAATCAAAACTGTCTTAAGAGTTCAAAAATAATGCCAAGTGATGCCCTGCTGTCTATATATATATATTCTGTTTTCTGTTATGTCATATTTTTGTCTAAGGACACTGTTAGGCTTTATATTCTGATCACTGTGTGTGTCTTTGTGCTATCACCATCTAACAAATAAGTTGTTCAACTATAACCAGTGGTGGATTTTTATTTATTTATTTATTTATTTATTTTTTTTTTT